AGAAGAAGAAGAAGAAGAAGAAGAAGAAGAAGAAGAAGAAGAAGACGAAGAATGGAGGAGGTTACACCCGAAAAGTATGCTTGAAAAGTTTCCTCCTTGTACTCGTTCTGAAGGAAACCATGTCCAGAGTATGCTGACATTGAAAATGAAAACTAGGGCCCAGCAGACGTTAACGGAACAGCGCTTTTGTAAAAATGTTATGCATGACATTTTGGTGGCACGCCTAGGCGTAGGTTCACACAGCGCCAGTCACCTCATCATAAAGCTGAGCGGTTCGAACAACGCACTGTTGCGTGGCAAAGTGAGTAATCAACCAGCTTACCCCCACAGATACGCTCTTTATGATCTTCTTTTGGCGGTTCGCTCCGACCTCCTCCTCACCCGTCTGTTCACCCTCGCTGTCTTCGGCGTGGTCAGAATCATCAGGGTCGCTGAAGGCGTCTGGAAGGATGAAGTCGCCCTCTTCCTCCTCCTCCTCTTCAACAGTGAAGGACACCTGTGGGTCTTTGAATATTGCGAGAATTAGGTCATGACTTTGCATTTGGTGGTGATTACTGGCAAATTATGCACAATTAAATTGTACTGGCAAATGGACAGTTTGCAGTAGAAGATGCGATCGCTGGAACGAGAAGTTTATTTGCTTGACGTTTCGGATTCTGTCGAGAACCCTTAATCATAGGTAACCGTAGAGTACTGTGATACATGCACAGAGAAGGGTGATATATGCACAGATTGCTCAGCATTTATAGTTTGTAGCGGCCACCCACATGCGCACTATAATTATAAGTTGCCGTAACCACCGCTGAAGGAGGGCAGTAATTGGTGGAGCGACGGATTGACAGTCCGCCTTCGAGTCATTAATTGCCACGATTTCGTTGCCCACGTTGGATGGGAGGCTTGATAATCAGACGACAATTATGTTCGTTGTCGTCGGAGTTGTAGCTGGAAGAGGGTTCTCACACAACTGCGTTTGAGACCAACGGGGTGGTTGCTTCTGAAGTGAAGAATGCGCATGTTGTTGGTTGCCTTGCAGTAGACCGTTGTCCTTATCTTTCCGTCTGCCAGTTTCGTCATTTGTACATCTACGCAAGTGTCTTAAGAAGTCCCACCATGAGCGATCGAAAGGAGAGGACTCTACGTTCTGGCTCCCAATCCCTTACGTGAAGAATGTATCAGAGGCGGCTGCAAGAATCCTGAAACCATTCTGGATCGGTGTGGCTCATAGGCCGGAGTCAACCATCAGATAGCAGCTCATGAGGCCCAAAGACCCGCTACCTT